AGAATGTATGCAATGTGTTAATTATTGAAACTGTCCTACCAATTTGATTTGAAACTGTCTCATTGCTATTTGTTTATCAATAAAATTATGGAAAAAAATTAAGATATAAATACTCATGCACCAAATTTCCCAAATAAACCCATCCTCATATAAAAAAATAAATAAATAAAGCAAAACAAAACAATATTGAAGTAGACATTAAAAAACCTCCTAAAGAGCTTCCTGGACTATGCTGATAACCAGGTTGTCTCTTTCAACTCTAAGAATGACACCCACTCTCTCACCTATCATGTTTATACTGCCATTGCCCTCCACAACTACTCTGTCAAGCTCATTTTCTGGTAATGCAATAAATCTGGCCACAGCAACAGGGTGGTAGACCATATAGTCCACATGCAGTTCAAGGAAGGAGAGCTCCCTGGATCACCAGCCCTAATGAAGGTATGAAAGAAAGAGAGGACCTCAGGTGTTGACAAGTCTTTGTCACAGCTCGGTTCCCCACTACACTGAGAATCTTCTCCTCTTGACACAGTTCCCATCCAGGATCCCAAGAAGGGAAAGGGTTCAGAAAATCCCACTTGTCATGCGATGATTGCTCAGTGGCACAGAATTTGTCTACTATAAGAAGGCTCTGGATTTAGTACCCAGGATTGCAAAAAAGGAACAGAACAACTACTGGCAAAGATGTGGAGATTACGTTGCACATGGGAATATAAAATGGTCAAGCTGCTAAAGAAAACACTATCATAGTTTCTCAAAAATAAATTTAAACATATAATTACCATGTGCTCTGACAATTCTACTTTTCAGTTATATACAAAAGAACTGAAAGCAGGGGCTCAAACAAATATTCCTACACAAATGGTTATAGTATCTATAATGGCCTTTAATAAATGCATAAGTAAAATGTGATATATACAATACAGTGGACAATTGTCACCCTAGTCAAAAGGAATAAAATTCTGACACAAACTACATAAATGAATCTTAAAGACACTGTAGTTTTCTAATTGTAAAATATGATTTCTTTAACCCATGTTTCTTTCCTTCTGCCCACCTCTTGTCTCACTCAGGTTGGATTTGTTAATTATGTTGTTCAAGTCTTTATTGTTATATATTTACCCTGTTTTTACTAAGGCTTACAAAAAGCATCCCCTACTACATTTATGATTGTGTTTCTCTTGTAATTCTGTCATTTGCCTCACATGTTTGAAGGCTATATGTTACATGCAGATTTAAAATGATGAAACACTGCCTGAAAGGAACTTCTAAAAATCATTAAGGAGTAATGACTCTTTGTTTTAAGGATATTCTTAATTGCCTATTGAAGCACTTTTATCAAGACTACTTTAAAATGTTTATCAGACAATTCCAATATCTCTGTCACTGTGACTGACACTGTCATCAGTTGGCTGTTCTTTCACACTCAGTTTGGTTTTGGTGATTTTCAATTGAAACTTGGGGGACATTTTCAAAATTTGTCATGAGACTAAATTTTCTTTAAAATAAGATTATTTCAGGAAATTATATACATTATCAAAAAATTTACTATCTTAACCACTTTTAAGTGTACAACTCACTGGCATTAAGCATATTCATTATGTTGTACAACTATCGCCATCCATTTCTATAACTCTTTATCATCCTAAACAGAAACTCTGTACCCATTAAACAATAATCACCCATTCCTCCTCCTTCTAAGACCCTGATAATCTCTATTCTACTTTCTCTATAAGTTTATCTTTTCTATCTACCTCACATAAATAGATCATAAAGTATTTGTCCTTTCTTGGCCATCTTATTTCACTTAGGTGTTTTTAAGGTTCCTTCATGTACCATGTATCAGACATTCATTTATTTATATGGAAGAATGATGCTGCATTTGTATGGCTATACCATATACTATTTATCTATAGATAGCTGTGAGCTTTAATAATATATCAGTCCTCCTATCTTAAGAAAATATTGTTTTTGCTAAAAATTTATGTAAGCTCTTATTATGTTTTAATACTTCAATCAATAAATTATAAGCTTTTGTGGTAAATCACAAATATATTATCATTTTAATTTATAGAAAAGAATATAAAAATGAATTGTACAGTATGCTTTTTCCCCAATAAATTCCAAATTTTTTATAACCTCTTTTTATTAAACTAAGATTATTCCAGGTTGACTTCTACCACATGTTTCTCTCAGCTGAACCAAAATGCAGATACGACACTCAATCTGAATGAGCCAAATGTTGTTAAGGAAGTTAATATGAAATGAACTTACTTCATAAAGGAAACTTCATGCATTCAAATAGAAATGATACATAGAAGCCAACCTATTGTTCCTTTCATCAATCTGATGCTTTGTTCTATGTGAGAAAACTTTTGGGAGTACTTTTGGAAGATATATGCTGTTAGTAATTTTTCCCTCTATAGTCTTACTTTTGCAGAGATTTTTAGAACTTTTCTCATTCAGTCAGACATTTCAATTCCCAAGAATTTCAGTTCATATCCAATTACAAATAATATATTATTCATCTTGATTTATCTTCACTTCAAATTATGAATTATGGTACTTATGTTTGATTTTCCTTCCTCTTCACACACACACAAAATTAAGAGTAGAGAAGGAAACAAAAAATTAAATTCAGTCTGGAAAGTTTAGTTATCTATTAATAGTGCTATTATATACCAAAGTATGACACATTATTAGTCATAAAAAGATTTAAGGCCAAAGAAAGAGTATAGCTGAAGATTTCCTGAGAACCTCTTATTTCATTCTGTTAGCTTTCTCTTTTTATATTCTATTCATTTCATGCTACATAAAGATTTTTATATGCTGCATAAGATATTTTTAGCCCATATATTAGTTGTCTTGTTTCTATTTTGATATCTTTATATGCCATACAATTTTAGATTCCTAGTATAGAAAATAATACCATGTGTACATATATGGTATTTATATATT